ATAATATTAATGTACTGAGGGAAACATACAAGGGAACGTGTGTTTTTGCCATTGTTGTTGTTTCAGTTTGTTATTTGTCGTTGATTTCGTTGTTTTTATGTCGTTATTTTTACATTTTTAAATAAAAAAACACTGCCCCTCGGGGATTTATGAACTATATACCCCTTCTATTCGAGCTGTCGCCCGTGCGTTTTACACCCCGGAATCGGGTATAAAATCTCATAAAAAATACCTTCGTTTTTTATTTACGATATAAATAAAGTAAAACAATATGTAACTTTAGGTAACTGAGGACAATTACCACTATTACATGATGCAGAGGATAAAGACTGCATATCATTCATCTTATAATATATATTACATATCATGCAGTGCTTGCAACCAGATTAAATATTACATATCATGCAGTCCTTGCAACCAATGATATACTACTGTACCCTGAAACTCACATGCATATACACGTAAACAAGAAAAACTTAAACAGAAGATACGATAGCTGTCATCACATTCAACTGACATACATTCACATCTGCAAAAATATGTTGTTATTACTGCATGGATAGGATATAACATAAGGTAGTAATTTGATACTATGTGTAGAGTGGAGTTAAATATTATTATCTTACCGCACACATAAATGTCGCTTTCTGATTGGCTGAGCACTCTTCTATTATTTTCAATGTACCCCGTTGTCAATGGCAACTCATTTGGTACTTCGTGGTAGTAATTCTTTATCTCGAGTTACATTGAATCACGTATGATGTACGGAAATTACCGATGTTTTGTGAATGCAAATCGATAGAAGGGAGAAAACTCTAAATCTGTTTGTCTTGTCAGTAAACTCTAGCGATGGCTACAAAAAGATTTGTACCCGTGACTAAAACAATTCAAAATTAACATTTAGGTGTTCGGTAAGATAACTACGTTGTTCACTGGTCCCTTGGGGCCCATGGGTTGATGTACCCTCGATGTTTGTTTATGTCCCCCTCGCCCTTCGGGCTCAGGGAACAAACACACATCGAGGGTACATCAACCCATGCCCCCCTCGTGACCAGTGAACAACTTATAATGTTTTATTGAATTGCCATCTATGAGTTCATCTAAAATTATATCTACAGTATTATATTACAACGGCTACATCCCACTTTGTGTTCTTTGTTGTTTTACGCCGCTCTCAGTATTCCATTAAATTTACATTTTGAATTTGAAATTTTGATAAATGTATCTTGAAATTATTAATATTTGGAACATTTTGACATGGATATGGTATGCATGGCTCTACACATGTCCAAACACATACAGGTCTCGTTCATATATCCGGAATAGTTTACTCACTCTTTTCTGACAAATGTATAATAAAAATCTCGGTCCATTTGACTGACTGACTGAGTATAGTTTTACGCCGTTTTTAGCAATATTCTATCAATATCACGGCGGGGGACACCAGAATGGGCTTCACAAATTGTACCGATGTAGGGAATCGAACCCGGGCCTTCAGCGTGACGAGTGAACGCTTAACCACTATGCTACCCCACAGCCCCCGGTCCATTTGAGTACACGTGAAAACGTATAATCATAAGCATAAGGTAATATACACAGAGATCATAATTTTGAAACGGCAATTTCCAACAAAAGTGAAATTTACGTTTTCATGGGGATTCACAGTTCCTGATATGGGCATAACCCGTGAAACGACAAGAAGTGGTTTGGGACTTCGTCTGTGATGTCCTTTCTGAAGGGGAAGCGACGTGTCTAAAAATAGCGGCCAATCCATCTCTTTGACCTGTATAGGCTGAATGGGAGACGGGACGGGGTGACTGTTTGTCATAACATGTGCAGCGCAACCACAACTTGGTACAGCTACATTCGTGACCCACTCGTGTTATTCCGTGACAAATCGAATTCCGACTTCTTGGAGGTTACAAGGGGCGTGTTGTGACGAATGGATGGGTACTGCTATATTTCATTCGTCATCACTCGCCTCTTTCCGTAAACTCCGGGAATAACACGAGTTGGTCACGAATGGCTATATATATCACCCAAGCCGGCGCATTGAATGCTGGGATAAAGAAAATCTTGGAATTCCCCGGCTATTAATAACAATGATAGGGTTATTTCGATTCTTGACTGTGGAGAACGGTTACCATACATTCCTGTTAGTGAGATTTATCGAAACGATCACGCCAAGTGAGTACATTTATGTTAAAGTATTCATACCGTTATATCTTTATACAACTGTGATGTGTTACATCTACGCTACGTCCTACTAGAGACCATATATCTATTTATGGTCTCCGGTCCTACCAGCTACATTTCCTCCTGTAAAGTGAGATTTCATTGCAATGAGCACGCCATTTAAACTTCTAATTTGAAGATTTTATCTGTAAGTACAACCCGATATATTAGAGTCAGGCTGGCAAAACCTGACGGATTTTGTATCGTTCTTCTATCAAGCTCCCCAGAGGCGACCTGACTGCATGAGTTACCCCTGAAAAACCGGCTATGATCGACTGATCTTCAACAACCCATTCTTGTCGTAATTGGGATGTACTAATATTAATGGGATCGGGTGGCCAGGTTCAGTCAGGGTATCACTAAATGCATTGATTGATGCTCATGATATCAATCACTGGATTGTCAGGTCCAGATCCGTTTATTTATACATCAGAGTCATACAGCTGGAGTATGTCCGAGATGCGGAACAAGCATTGCTTATCACCCAACTCCACCCTGCCGGCCACACCAGGCTCCACACCCTGCCGGCCACGCCAAGCTCCACACCCTGCCGGCCAAGCCAACTCCACACCCTGCCGGCCACGCCAACTCCACACCCTGCCGGCCAAGCCAACTCCACACCCTGCCGGCCAAGCCAACTCCACACCCTGCCGGCCACGCCAAGCTCCACACCCTGCCGGCCACACCAGGCTCCACACCCTGCCGGCCACACCAGGCTCCACACCCTGCCGGCCACACCAGGCTCCACACCCTGCCGGCCAAGCCAACTCCACACCCTGCCGGCCACACCAGGCTCCACACCCCCTGCCGGCCACACCAGGCTCCACACCCTGCCGGCCACACCAGGCTCCACACCCTGCCGGCCACACCAGGCTCCACACCCCTGCCGGCCACACCAGGCTCCACACCCTGCCGGCCAAGCCAACTCCACACCCTGCCGGCCACACCAGGCTCCACACCCTGCCGGCCACGCCAGGCTCCACACCCTGCCGGCCAAGCCAACTCCACACCCTGCCGGCCACACCAGGCTCCACACCCTGCCGGCCACACCAGGCTCCACACCCTGCCGGCCACACCAGGCTCCACACCCCTGCCGCCAAGCCAACTCCACACCCTGCCGGCCACACCAGGCTCCACACCCTGCCGGCCACACCAGGCTCCACACCCTGCCGGCCACACCAGGCTCCACACCCTGCCGGCCACACCAGGCTCCACACCCTGCCGGCTGGCCAAAGCCAACTCCACACCCTGCCGGCCACGCCAAGCTCCACACCCTGCCGGCCACACCAGGCTCCTTTACACCCTGCCGGCCACACCAGGCTCCACACCCTGCCGGCCACACCAGGCTCCACACCCTGCCGGCCAAGCCAACTCCACACCCTGCCGGCCACACCAGGCTCCACACCCTGCCGGCCAAGCCAACTCCACACCCTGCCGGCCACGCCAAGCTCCACACCCTGCCGGCCAAGCCAACTCCACACCCTGCCGGCCACGCCAAGCTCCACATCCTGCCGGCCACACCAAGCTCCACACCCTGCCGGCCACGCCAAGCTCCACACCCCTGCCGGTGTATAAGCATCACTGTGTTCGCCCTGACCTGTACCCTGCCCAGCTCCACACCCTGCCGGCCACGCCTGCCGGTGTATAAGCATCGCAGTGTTCACCCTGACTGGTACCCTGCCAAGCTCCACACCCTAGCTGCCGGCCACGCCTGTCGGTGTATAAGCATCACAGTGTTCACCCTGACTGGTACCCTGCCAAGCTCCACACCCTGCCGACCACGCCTGTCGGTGTATAAGCATCAGTGTTCACTCTGACTGGTACCCTGCCCAGTTCCACACCCTGCCGGCCACGCCTGTCGCTGTGTAAGCATCACCGTGTTCACCCTGGCTGGTACCCTGCCCAGTTCCACACCCTGCCGGCCACGCCTGTCGCTGTGTAAGCATCACCGTGTTCACCCTGACTGGTACCCTGCCCAGTTCCACACCCTGCCGGCCACGCCTGTCGCTGTGTAAGCATCACCGTGTTCACCCTGGCTGGTACCCTGCCCAGCTCCACACCCTGCCGGCCACGCCTGTCGCTGTGTAAGCATCACCGTGTTCACCCTGGCTGGTACCCTGCCCAGTTCCACACCCTGCCGGCCACGCCTGTCGCTGTGTAAGCATCACCGTGTTCACCCTGGCTGGCCACCAGTACCCTGCCCAGTTCCACACCCTGCCGGCCACGCCTGTCGCTGTGTAAGCATCACCGTGTTCACCCTGGCTGGTACCCTGCCCAGTTCCACACCCTGCCGGCCACGCCTGTCGCTGTGTAAGCATCACCGTGTTCACCCTGGCTGGTACCCTGCCCAGCTCCACACCCCTGCCGGCCACGCCTGTCGCTGTGTAAGCATCACCGTGTTCACCCTGGCTGGTACCCTGCCCAGCTCCACACCCTGCCGGCCACGCCTGTCGCTGTGTAAGCATCACCGTGTTCACCCTGGCTGGTACCCTGCCCAGTTCCACACCCTGCCGGCCACGCCTGTCGCTGTGTAAGCATCACCGTGTTCACCCTGGCTGGTACCCCCGCCCAGTTCCACACCCTGCCGGCCACGCCTGTCGCTGTGTAAGCATCACCGTGTTCACCCTGGCTGGTACCCCTGCCCAGCTCCACACCCTGCCGGCCACGCCTGTCGCTGTGTAAGCATCACCGTGTTCACCCTGGCTGGTACCCCCAGCCCAGCTCCACACCCTGCCGGCCACGCCTGTCGCTGTGTAAGCATCACCGTGTTCACCCTGGCTGGTACCCTGCCCAGCTCCACACCCTGCCGACCACGCCTGTCGCTGTGTAAGCAACACCGTGTTCGCCCTGACTGGTACCCTGCCAAGCTCCACACCCTGCCGACCACGCCTGTCGCTGTATAAGCATCACCGTGTTCACCCTGACTGGTACCCTGCCCAGTTCCACACCCTGCCGACCACGCCTGTCTGTGTATAAGCATCACAGTGTTCACCCTGACTGGTACCCTGCCCAGCTCCACACCCTGCCGACCACGCCTGTCGGTGTATAAGCATCACAGTGTTCGCCCTGACTGGTACCCTGCCCAGCTCCACACCCTGCCGACCACGCCTGTCGGTGTATAAGCATCACAGTGTTCACCCTGACTGGTACCCTGCCAATACAGCCCTCCTTCAATCCCGGGAGACATCTGGGTACTCCGTGCTATGGAGACAAAGGCTTAGACAAAAATACACTTTGATTAGGATATTTGAGGTGAGCATAAGCCCTTACGTTTTCAGTTGCGATGGTTAAATTTGTTAAAAAATCGAGTCATATCCTTATTGATGTTGTTGTTTATAGATCCACGTCAGTCTATATTCAGCGATGCACCCTACATACAGGACATGACGTTTTCTAACCTGTTCAAAATACCCAACGGGAAGCCCGATCTGTCCCGTATTTCGAGCAACGGAAGGATCAATAATGAACGGAGTATATGTGTTGTAAAGGATCAATAATGAACGGAGTATATGTGTTGTAATGGATCAATAATGAACGGAGTATATGTGTTGTAATGGATCAATAATGAACGGAGTATATGTGTTGTAATGGATCAATAATGAACGGAGTATATGTGTTGTAATGGATCAATAATGAACGGAGTATATGTGTTGTAATGGATCAATAATGAACGGAGTATATGTGTTGTAATGGATCAATAATGAACGGAGTATATGTGTTGTAATGGATCAATAATGAACGGAGTATATGTGTTGTAATGGATCAATAATGAACGGAGTATATGTGTTGTAATGGATCAATAATGAACGGAGTATATGTGTTGTAATGGATCAATAATGAACGGAGTATATGTGTTGTAATGGATCAATAATGAACGGAGTATATGTGTTGTAATGGATCAATAATGAACGGAGTATATGTGTTGTAATGGATCAATAATGAACGGAGTATATGTGTTGTAATGGATCAATAATGAACGGAGTATATGTGTTGTAATGGATCAATAATGAACGGAGTATATGTGTTGTAAAGGATCAATAATGAACGGAGTATATGTGTTGTAAAGGATCAATAATGAACGGAGTATATGTGTTGTAATGGATCAATAATGAACGGAGTATATGTGTTGTAATGGATCAATAATGAACGGAGTATATGTGTTGTAATGGATCAATAATGAACGGAGTATATGTGTTGTAATGGATCAATAATGAACGGAGTATATGTGTTGTAATGGATCAATAATGAACGGAGTATATGTGTTGTAATGGATCAATAATGAACGGAGTATATGTGTTATGTGTAATGGATCAATAATGAACGGAGTATATGTGTTGTAATGGATCAATAATGAACGGAGTATATGTGTTGTAATGGATCAATAATGAACGGAGTATATGTGTTGTAATGGATCAATAATGAACGGAGTATATGTGTTGTAATGGATCAATAATGAACGGAGTATATGTGTTGTAATGGATCAATAATGAACGGAGTATATGTGTTGTAATGGATCAATAATGAACGGAGTATATGTGTTGTAATGGATCAATAATGAACGGAGTATATGTGTTGTAATGGATCAATAATGAACGGAGTATATGTGTTGTAATGGATCAATAATGAACGGAGTATATGTGTTGTAATGGATCAATAATGAACGGAGTATATGTGTTGTAATGGATCAATAATGAACGGAGTATATGTTTTGTAATGGATCAATAATGAACGGAGTATATGTGTTGTAATGGATCAATAATGAACGGAGTATATGTGTTGTAATGGATCAATAATGAACGGAGTATATGTGTTTTAGTGGATCAATAATGAACGGAGTATATGTGTTTTAGTGGATCAATAATGAACGGAGTATATGTGTTTTAGTGGATCAATAATGAACGGAGTATATGTGTTTTAGTGGGCACACAGTCATGATCTTTGTTGTACGGTTGTTATAAGCTGTGGTAAATCAGATCATCATGAAGATGCCCAGTACTATGACACCAGCAATTTACTGTAGTATCTCTGCGTCCTTCAATCTTGTGTGACTCAGTGACGTTTTACGTTTATAGCAATATTCCGGGGGGACACCCGAAATGGGCGTCACAGTTTGTACCCATCTGGGGAATCGAACCTAAGCGAATCACGGGGTACAAGACACAGGCCCTCGTGTCTTTGCGAGGATTAAAGATTTAAAAAATATTGTTTTTGAGATGACCCCCGACTCGAAATACTTCACAGTACAATACATCATGTCGTAATTTATTGTACTGTGAAGCATTTCGAGTCGGGAGGTCATCTCAAATTGTTATATATATTAATCCTAGCAAAGACACGATGGCCTGTGGTACAAGAGTCATGAATCAGAACGCATGCAGTCCTTCATTACGGGATATACATAAGTGTACATATGAGTTATGAGTGAGTGAGTGAGTGAGTATGGTTTTACGGCACTTTGAGCAATATTACTGTTACAACAATATCACGGCGGGGGACACCAGAAATGGATTTCACACATTGTACCCAGGTGGGGAGTCACGTCTTCGGCGTGACGAGCCAGCTCTTTAACCACTAGGCTACCCCACCGCCCCAGTGTTACTACGTTATCAGAAATGGACAATTATATGCACATTTGGCTCATGAGTTATATATTCATTGAAACTGTTAAGCACAATTTTGTGATTTTCTGAAGCGCATTATACTATAAAAAACACTGCTGATTCTTCTTGAATTGTATTTATATATTTCTTCTTCAGAGACATAAGATTGTGGCACCGTGATTACCAACAAGGAGATTTCCATATATCACTCAAGAGGATGCAGATGATATCACACACTATCGTCTCTACACCCACTCAAACACATCAGCCACAGTCACGAATGATGGCTGAACGTGGTCTAGGAAGAGGAAGACATGACCGAAATGTGAAAAAGAAAACTAAAAAATGCAGACCGAACTTAAGGGAAACGGATTTTGTGATTATAATTGTTATGCCTAGCAAGATTTGGACTCATTCGTGTTCATCTAACGGAAAACCAGACAAAGAAATGCCTGTTTTTACAGAACGTTGTGGTTCTAAATCTACGTTGAATACGCTTCCACCCTGTCTCCAAAAGGTCTATGATGAAGACTTGGCGAGACATGTGATAAATGAAACTTGGCACACATCAAATGCAACATCCTGCAGGCACAGAAGAAAGAAAATACTTTTGGACCAAGTTAATTCGTTTTTCGACGACCTCTACGAATCGGCAATATGTATTTCCAAGGAGACACGCCCCTTTTGGTTAGATTACCACACTGATAGTTTCGTGACATCTCAGTTGACGGTAAATATGCTTCACTCTTCCACACCCTACATCCAGCCTGGTCCACACAAACCCGTGCAGGCTGCACGCTCTAGGGTGGATAACATGGACATGAGCAGTGAACTCGTAAGGTATGGAACATTCCACACCTGGTCCCACCTGGCCGCCTGGCCAAACAGGTTAGCTGCGGCCGGCTTCTACTACCGTAACCAGGGAGACGAAGTCGTCTGCTTCAGCTGTGGTTGCACGTGTAGTGGTTGGCAGCCGGGGATGGAACCTATGGTCGTCCACAGAAGACAGTCCCCGTCATGCATGTTCGTCAATGGACAGGCTGGGAATATCCCGGTCATAGCAAGCCCAGAAGCTAGGAACCACTTGATACAGGTCAGCGGAAGTGAATCACGTCACACACCTCCAACACAGCAGTCGCAACCACGACACCCACGAACAAATGCAGTTGCTGCTCCTGCTGGGTTTCTGTCCTTGCCCCCACCTTTCAGACGACCAGACTCAACTGCTGGTCCACAATCACTCGCACCTGCCCAAATGTCAGTTCCAGGAGTTATTGCGCCACAACCCCAGGTCCTGACACCAATACTACAGACTACTCAACCAACTGAAACAGTCCATGACAGCAATCTGGGTATAAGCACTGACCGACCAAAGAATCCCACGTACGCCGTCACCTCCGCCAGGGTCAAATCCTACGTAACTTGGCCTCATTCAAGTCCTACGCCCGTCGACCTTGCCGAAGCAGGGTTCTTTTACAATGGTATGTATAGTCCCATAATAGAACTTGCTCTGTATTCCGATCTTGTGCTTATAAAGATAATTGATCGATAAAGATTCGCGTAAGGTTTGGTCTTATGCATGTTTTACTTTGGTCGTATGCATGTTGTACTTTGGTCGTATGCATGTTCTACGTTGGTCGTATGCATGTTGTACTTTGGTCGTATGCATGTTGTACTTTGGTCGTATGCATGTTGTACGTTGGTCGTATGCATGTTGTACTTTGGTCGTATGCATGTTCTACGTTGGTCGTATGCATGTTGTACTTTGGTCGTATGCATGTTCTACGTTGGTCGTATGCATGTTGTACTTTGGTCGTATGCATGTTTTACTTTGGTCGTAAGAAAGAAAACTGAAAAAAGAAACCGTCAAAAGTGAAATATTTTGTACTTTGGTCGTATGCATGTTGTACTTTGGTCGTATGCATGTTGTACTTTGGTCGTATGCATGTTGTACTTTAGTCGTATGCATGTTCTACGTTGGTCGTGTGCATGTTGTACTTTGGTCGTGTGCATGTTGTACTTTGGTCGTAAGAAAGAAAACTGAAAAAAGAAACCGTCAAAAGTGAAATATTTTGTACTTTGGTCGTATGCATGTTGTACTTTGGTCGTATGCATGTTGTACTTTGGTCGTATGCATGTTTTACTTTGGTCGTAAGAAAGAAAACTGAAAAAAGAAACCGTCAAAAGTGAAATATTTTGTACTTTGGTCGTATGCATGTTGTACTTTGGTCGTATGCATGTTCTACGTTGGTCGTATGCATGTTGTACTTTGGTCGTGTGCATGTTGTACTTTGGTCGTAAGAAAGAAAACTGAAAAAAGAAACCGTCAAAAGTGAAATATTTTGTACTTTGGTCGTATGCATGTTGTACTTTGGTCGTATACATGTTCTACGTTGGTCGTATGCATGTTGTACTTTGGTCGTGTGCATGTTGTACTTTGGTCGTAAGAAAGAAAACTGAAAAAAGAAACCGTCAAAAGTGAAATATTTTGTACTTTGGTCGTATGCATGTTTTGGTCGTGTACATTTGGGTCGTAAAAGGAAAACGCATCAAAAGTGAAATGTTTTGTACTTTGGTCGTATGCATGTTGTACTTTGGTCGTTGCATGTCGTTGGTCGTATGCATGTTGTACTTTGGTCGTGTGCATGTTGTACTTTGGTCGTAAGTCGTAAAGAAACCGTCAAAAGTGAAATATCTTGTACTTTGGTCGTATGCATGTTGTACTTTGGTCGTATGCATGTTCTACGTTGGTCGTATGCATGTTGTACTTTGGTCGTATGCATGTTGTACTTTGGTCGTAAGAAAGAAAACTCAAAAAAGAAACCGTCAAAAGTGAAATATCTTGTACTTTGGTCGTATGCATGTTGTACTTTGGTCGTATACATGTTCTACGTTGGTCGTATGCATGTTGTACTTTGGTCGTAAACATGTTGTACTTTGGTCGTATGCATGTTGTACTTTGGTCGTATGCATGTTGTACTTTGGTCGTATGCATGTTGTACTTTGGTCGTATGCATGTTGTACTTTGGTCGTATGCATGTTGTACGAGGCGACCAACGGGATCAGATGGTCAGGCTTGCTGACATACTTGATGCACGTTATCGTATTCCATGATTGATGCTCAGGATGTTGATCACTGGTCTGTCTGGTCCAGACTCCATTACATACAGACCGCCGTCATACAGCTGGAACACTGCTGAGTACGGCGTTGAACTGGAAACAAATAAATTACGTTAACTTTGCACCTTTTCCCGATGGTGTTCACAGGTCAAGGAGACAGCGTCCGGTGTTTTTTCTGTGGAACTGGTCTTCGGAATTGGGACAGCGGAGACAATGCTTGGGTGGAGCATGCCCGCTGGTCTCCCCAGTGTGTGTACCTCGTCCAGCACCAAGGTCGGGACTTCGTGGACCTAGTGCAGAGTCTGTCGTCAGGCGGCAACCAGGTAGCGGACTATACGCTTTGGAGTGAGGGAGTTGGGGAAGGTTACGCCGCTTTTAGCATTATTCAAGCAATATCACGGCAGGGGACATCAGAAATGGGCTTCACACATTGTACCCATGTGGGGAATCGAACCCGGGTCTTCAGCGTGACGAGCGAATGCTTTAACCACTAAGTCACAGATCCCTGAGTATGAGCTTTAGAGTCAGTAATTTGGGTGGTTTTATGCCGCTTTCAGCAATATTCCAGCAATATCACGGCAGGGGAGACCAGAAATGGGCTTCACTCAGTGTGCCTATGCGTGGAATCGAACCCGGGCCTTCGGCGTGAGGAGCGAACGCTTTAACCACTAGGCTGGCTACCCGCCCCCGATTTTGAATAATTAGCTGCAAGCATACGTGTATATATGTTCTCATGCCAAGTTTAAGATACAAACAGAAGATTCAGTGGTGTGGTTTATGTGAAAGATGTCGGTCATCACTCGTTGTTCTGTTTCAGGTGGAATACAGCCAGGTTCAGGACATTCTCCGGGACATGCGCCCCAAAGCCGCCCTCGTGCCACAGAAAGGTAAACATAAAATGTATTGGTTTCAGAACCACAACCATAGCGAAACCCTTGTTTTGGACCAATTTCTACATGTTGATCATTATGAAAACATCAACATCCAGCAGTACACATATTAAATTACTAGATGTACAACCTTGCACACTGTTCTTTCTGCTTGTTTTATGTAACAATAGATGCATAGTGAAATAGCACATGTATGTATACAAAGCAATGGAACCCGTGAAGATCCGGGTTAGAATTGGTCTTCAGTAACCCATGCTTGTCTTAAGAGTCGACTAACTGGATTGAGTGGTCAGGCTCACTGACCTGGTTGACACATGTCATCGCATCCCAATTGTGTAGTACAAGGTTCATGCTGTTGATCACTGGATTGTCTGGTCCAGACTCTGTTATTTACAGACTGCCGTAATATAGCTGTAATATTGCTGAGTGCGGCGTTAAACAACAAACCAACCAACTTCTTCTATATAACAATGGATGCATAGTGAAATAGAACATAGATGTATTACAAAGCAATGGATTATGCTTGTACGAGCGTTATCCCGTGTCATGGCTGTGTTATGTCAGTTTTTGTAAGGGCGTCATCACAGTTGATATATAAGGTCTTTTCGGTGTCCTGCAGGGTGTAAGTATATCTGTGTGTTGTAGGGGCAGTTGGCGTGGCACCAGCGCCTCACGTCTCGACAGAAGCAGCAGGGGGCGCCTCAAGTGATCAACACGAAGGTGAGTTTTAAAGAAGCAACCATGTGTAGGGCGCCTTATATCCACCTCAAAGATGCTCAGTGACTGAGGACAAATTTTAAACGATTGATTCACAAATTGTAAACATTTTTACCCTGGTTAACCCAAACTGTAAGACTCTAGAAGGTTCACAGACCATCTTTTCCCCACCGGGTACCCATTCACTGCTGGGTGAACAGTGGCAATTGTGAAACTCACTTGCCTGAATACCCGTGAAGGTCCGGGTTAGAATGAACCTTCAATAACCCATGCGTGTCGTAAGAGGCGACTAGGCTCGCTGGCTTGGTTGACACATGTCATTGGTTCCCCAATTGCGCAGATCGATGCTCATGCTGTTGATCACTGGGTTATCTGGTCCAGACTCGATTATTTACAGACCGCCGCCATATAGCTGGAATATTGCTGAGTGTGGCATAAAAGTAAACTCACTCATTTGCCTAAATGTGCTTCAGAGAAACTCTCAGAAGTCACCCATTCAACGACTCCCCGTGACAAACGTTGTTTAACCTTTTCAACTTATTTGTGACTTGAGCTTCATGCTTAGGACCACACATCACCACAGTTGCTGAAACTGAAGATAACTCTACTTGAAAATAACTGAAAATCACACAAAATACGAGGTGTTTGTGTTGCAGATGCGCGAGAAGACTGAGAATACTGACTTGCTTGTTGTTGACTGTTGAAAACTGGGAAACAGACTACAGTTGTTGTAGCTGTTGCTGACTCTGTGAGAGTGATTTTACCAGTTTGTGTTGTTGACTCTTGGGAGACTGGGAGACTGAGAATACAGGCTTGTGTTGTCGACTCTTTGGGAGACTGAGAATACAGGCTTGTGTTGTCGACTCTGTGGGAGAGACTGAGAATACAGGCTTGTGTTGTCGACTCTGTGGGAGACTGAGAGACTGAGAATACAGGCTTGTGTTGTCGACTCTGTGGGAGACTGAGACTGAGAATACAGGCTTGTGTTGTCGACTCTGTGGGAGACTGAGACTGTTGTCGAGAATGAGAATACAGGCTTGTGTTGTCGACTCTGTGGGAGAGTGTTGTCGACTCTGTGGGAGACTGAGAATACAGGCTTGTGTTGTCGACTCTGTGGGAGACTGTGGGAGACTGAGAATACAGGCTTGTGTTGTCGACTCTGTGGGAGACTGTGAGACTGAGAATACAGGCTTGTGTTGTCGACTCTGTGGGAGACTGAGAATACAGGCTTGTGTTGTCGACTCTGTGGGAGACTGAGAGACTGAGAATACAGGCTTGTGTTGTCGACTCTGTGGGAGACTGAGAGACTGAGAATACAGGCTTGTGTTGTCGACTCTGTGGGAGACTGTCGACTCTGTTGGGAGAATGTGGGAGACTGAGATAGAATAGGCTTGTGTTGTCGACTCTGTGGGAGACTGAGAATGAGAATACAGGCAGGCTTGTGACTCTTGTCGACTCTGACTCTGGGAGACTGAGACTGAGAATACAGGCTTGTGTTGTCGACTCTGTGAGAGAGAATACAGGCTTGAATACGACTCTTGGGATGAGAATACAGGCTTGTGTTGTCGACTCTGTGGGAGACTGGGAGACTGAGAATACAGGCTTGTGTTGTCGACTCTGTGGGAGACTGGGAGACTGAGAATACAGGCTTGTGTTGTCGACTCTGTGGGAGACTGAGAATACAGGCTTGTGTTGTCGACTCTGTGGGAGACTGAGAGACTGAGAATACAGGCTTGTGTTGTCGACTCTGTGGGAGACTGAGAATACAGGCTTGTGTTGTCGACTCTGTGGGAGAATGAGAATACAGGCTTGTGTTGTCGACTCTGTGGGAGACTGAGACTGAGAATACAGGCTTGTGTTGTCGACTCTGTGGGAGACTGAGAATACAGGCTTGTGTTGTCGACTCTGTGGGAGACTGTCAGACTGAGAATACAGGCTTGTGTTGTCGACTCTGTGGGAGACTGAGAATACAGGCTTGTGTTGTCGACTCTGTGGGAGACTGGGAGAATGAGAATACAGGCTTGTGCTGTCGACTCTGTGGGAGACTGAGAATACAGGCTTACTCTGTGGGAGACTGAGAATACAGGCTTGTGTTGTCGACTCTGTGAGGAGACTGAGAATACAGGCTTGTGTTGTCGACTCTGTGGGAGAGATGAGAATACACAGGCTTGTGTTGTCGACTCTGTGGGAGACTGAGAATACAGGCTGTGTTGTCGACTCTGTGGCTTGTGAGAGACTGAGAATACAGGCTTGTGTTGTCGACTCTGTGGGAGACTGAGAGATGAGAATACAGGCTCGTGCTGTCGACTCTGTGGGAGACTGAGAATACGACTCTGTGTGGTCGACTGGGGAGAGACTGGAGAGACTGAGAATACAGGCTTGTGTTGTCGACTCTGTGGGAGACTGACTCTGTGGGAGACTGAATGAGAATACAGGCTTGTGTTGTCGACTCTGTGGGAGACTGGAGACTGAGAATACAGGCTCGTGCTGTCGACTCTGTGGGAGACTGGGAGGCTGAGAATACAGGCTTGTGTTGTCGACTCTGGGGAGACTGAGAATACAGGCTGACTCTGTGGGAGACTGAGAATACAGGCTTGTGTTGTCGACTCTGTGGGAGAATGAGAATACAGGCTTGTGTTGTCGACTGTGGGAGACTGTGAGACTGAGAATACAGGCTTGTGTTGTCGACTCTGTGGGAGAATGAGAATACAGGCTCTTGTCGACTCTGTGGGAGACTGAGAATACAGGCTTGTGTTGTCGACTCTGTGGGAGAATGAGAATACAGGCTTGTGTTGTCGACTCTGTGGGAGACTGGGAGACTGAGAATACAGGCTTGTGTTGTCGACTCTGTGGGAGACTGAGAATACAGGCTTGTGTGTCGACTCTGTGGGAGACTGAGAGACTGAGAATACAGGCTTGTGTTGTCGACTCTGTGGGAGACTGGGAGAATGAGAATACAAGCTCGTGCTGTCGACTCTGTGGGAGAATGAGAATACAAGCTCGTGCTGTCGACTCTGTGGGAGACTGTGACTGTGTTGTTGATGACTGTTAGACCCTAAACTACACCTTGTTACAGATGACTCTCTGGTGGAGGAGAACGAAAGGTTGAAGCAGCAGACGATGTGTAAAATCTGCCTGGACAAGGAAGTCAGCATCGTCTTCCTGCCGTGCGGTCATCTTGTCTGCTGTGTGGAATGTGCCCCTGCTCTCAGAAAGTGCCCCATGTGCCGTGCAAACATCAGGGGCACCGTCAAAGCCTTCATGAGTTAGAGCCATGCCTTCCGTGCTCTTCGACATTAAACATACTGCTGTGATAACCATAATGAATACACGTTCACTGATATATAATTAGGCTAGAAGAAATATCATCTCCCATGTGTATGATGATGCTTGTATAGGACTGTGCTCCAATTCCCATCATAATTCTCCTGTTATAGGTATACACCAATATATTATTGGCAACCTCATTCTCACGTCATTCGATGTTTTGAAATGTGTTTTTGTAAGAAATCTATAAGAGATGAACTTCACTGCGTATTGCTATTCGTAAAATAATCATATGTTAATGCCATCACGTCACGCTATATTCAGTATTTGATTAGAATGTGCCAGTACCTAAAATATAAGGTCAATGTCGAGAGCCTGCCATAACTATCTTGTTACTTTTTAAAACTTGTTCACTTGACCGTAAACTTTTAACAATTCATCGAATTAGGCATCAAGTAAAATTTACCAATGCATCAAGTATGGATTAAATTTACCTTCGTCCTTCACCAAACCGATCACAATCCATTGAAGTCTAACATCGTATCTTTGACATATTTTACCAAAAAAAGTTTTCTAAATTATGTTAATAAAATACAATAAAAAAATCGTTTCCTGAAAATGTGGTTATCTAGACTTGCCTATATTCCAGACTTGCACGGGCTGCCATGGGTATATGACAGACTAAATCCATTGATGTACACTTGTTCTTTACCTTTGTGAAATTGTGACAGCTTCCTATTTCAGTCCGCCATATAGCTGGAATAGTGCTGAGTGTGGTGTAAACTAACCTCACTCACTCCTATTTCAGTGACGCCCACAGTCTTGTCTCTGTGTCAGTCAGCCTATGCCGCAATGAGGCTACCACTGTTGGCTCAGATTAATATTTTTCATTATGATGTTATGTAATATTATGAATTATGTTCTGAGGAACCCAGAAGGTTATGCTATGTCAAATCCTGTTTAAGGTTGCTGTTAATGCCGACAACAGGAACTCTGTATATATCGTTCTTGCATCAGAATTCACTCAATTACTTGCTTGTCTTCACAATGCATGCAATGATCCAAAGATGTTTACCTTGTCAATTTTATACATGTATATATATGTACCTCCGACAACACACCTACTCCAGCTTGACGACGGAGTGACTATCTGTGTACACAGTTGGTAGAAGCTGTGCCTGGCATTGTCATCCATGAAGATGTGGGACAACAGCCCTCTCAAGGATCTCCTGTTCATACCCAGGCCCATTAAGGTTACCTTGAATTATAAGGTCCATCTTCCAACCCAAGGAAAAGCATCCCCACACCATGATTTAGCCTTCCTCGAAGGGAACCGCCCATCTAACCATGTAACGTTGTCACAACGTTATGTTTTCGTTGTGGAAACGTTATGAAATTACGTCTGCACAATACACAACGTTATTCTGTGAACTCCCAATTATGTTGTCACAAAGTTATGACGTGATTTTCACGTCGTCACAATGCTATGGGAACGTTTATAAGTACGTTCTGATAAATTTAACGTTGTATTTTACGTTCGGGAACGTAATGATAGTACGTCCATAAAACGTTATTCTGTGGAGACCCGTGAAGATGGGTCTCCCCTACCCGATGCTTGTCGTAAAAGGCGACTAACGGGATTGAGTGGTCAGACTCGCTGACTTGGTTGACACATGTCATTGGTTCCCTCATTGCGTAGATCGATGCCCATGCTGCTGTATAGCTGTAATATCGCTGTGTGCGGCGTAAAACTAAACTCACTCACTATTCTGTGGACTCCTTTTTATGTTGTCACAACGTTTTGGCCTGACGTTGTAATGACCCAGATAGCATCCTGACGTTGGCCAACGATGTTTAAATTGCACGAAATTCCTTATAACTAGATGTCTTGGATTCTTTTTGCGTTCGTGTTTAAATCAACCTTTGAAACCAATTTACTGTATAGGCCACATGCTCTAACGCACGACTCTGTTATATGTCTTGTTACCGCAATGGCTGTGTTATGTATTGCAGTATTACGCTGAACACAGGCACTTCCTTGTCTACATTTGTTTTTCTGATTAAATACGAATTTTGTGAAACATATTCATAAGAATTTTTTGATTATTATTTTGAATTTAAGGATATGTAAACGTAGAAATCAGTGTGCACAGTAAAGGGATTAACAGAATACAGATACGGAATTAACGTGCCTGGATAAACACAAAGAGAAGATATATTTAAATAAAATTGTAAATCATCATGGTTATCATTGGATATGCTTTTCCAACGGCGTATCCAGGATTTTGGAGAAGAGTGAGTGAGTTTAGTTTTACGCCGCATTCAGCAATATTCCAGTTATATGGCGGCGGTCTGTAATTTGGAGAAGATGGTGGACATAAATCATGAAAACCGAAAGATTAGGGGAAAATGCTCCTCAGGGAATTTTGTTCGGGGTGAAGAGGGGTAGGGGGGGAATGAAATGGGCGTTCGGGCACTCCCGGAACCCACCACTCCCACCCCTCTTTATGGATCCGCCCCTGTTTTCAAGACTACACGTGAACCTGATGGTGTATTTGAGTCACCTCGTATATTATGCCCACAAATCTGAATTGAGGCGACGCTACAGGTAAAATGAGGGACGCTGTAGCTGATAACGTAAAACAAAAAGCCACAGAGCAACTGGTAGTGTTGACGGTAGCTCCACCAACACAGGCGCGTGAAACCTGAGTGTTTGATAAACACGGTTGGGAAAGGCCACAACTTTCGTATATATTTCCTTTTATAACCACGACATCGGCCCACGTGGGTACAATGTGTGAAGCCCATTTCTGGTGTCCCCCGACGTGATATTGCTGGAATATTGCTAAAGGTGGCGTAAAACTAAACTCACTCACTCACTACACCGTCATGACTGAACGTATCAGTCTTGGCGAATTAAAATTTCCTATGGTCCTTTACGGTTCCGAAGACTGAAATTTCACAAAATTGGATACCCTTTGTCATGCATGAGTCAGGAAACACCTTGGTTAACGATTTTCCTAATAAAATCAAATAAAGTTGGTCAACAACAATTTCAAAGTCGATCAAGACTGGTAATAAACTACCTCTTTAGTTGTTACTAAAAAAGTCATTTTGGTCAGGTTTTCATTGTTATTGTTTGTTTCCCAAATGGACTCAAAATTAATAAGATGGATTTTTTCGTTTGGTATTAACTTGATTGCAGACAATGGGGCTCAGTTAATTTGGTTTCAGACCCTATATGGTTATGAGTGAGTGAGTTTGGTTTTATGCCGGTTGGGTTTTTTTCGTTTTTCCCCCAATATTCCAGCAAAATCACGGCGGGGGGACACCAGAAATGGGCTTCACACACTGTACCCATGTGAGGAATCGAACCCAAGTCTTCTGCGTGACGAGCGAACGCTTTAACCACTAGGCTATCCCATCGCCCCTATATGGTTATGAAGAAACCGATATGAAAACCAAGTCATTTGATAAAGAAGTCACAGAACTTTACATAACATAATGAGATTACATATCCAGCCCCCTTGTTAAACCCCCTCCGACAAGGGCCCTCCGTTGTGAGAAAGTTCGGGTTATAGACAGAAACGTGTAATTTGTGGAGATACGAAGTGACACTTGCCCTTTGTGAGATTTTCCGCTTGCTGTCCTAGTTATGTTGATTCTACCGTCTACTCACAAGCGCGCCTCCCCTAAGTCAACTTTAACTATGTGGTGTGTTTTAGTGGCAAATATATACCACTAGCTACTGATGCCTCCGCTGTTTGACCGACAATATTTTCTGTGTTGTCTCATACGTCTACACAATTAATATTGGGAGCAGTGTTGTGACATGTTTTTTGGGCCGCATCGAAACGCTGCATATTTCTGCGCACACCTGTCGAAATGGTCACCTGACAGGTATGTATGTTGCCGATTAAGGTATTTTAACATGATTTACTCGTTATAGTTATGTGTGCACGTTGGATATGAATTTAATGTATACCTGGGTGTCATTGTACAAAACAACCTTAGCGCTAAGGCTACCTTAAGCCTCTGTTAAGGTATGGGAGTTACGGTCACCTTAGCGCTAAGATCGCTTTGTACAACGGCACCCTGACATATTCTATCCTGACAAAATGACAAAAATTAGGAGATAGTTCTCTCTACCCATACGTGTTGTGCATGTGTTCGAAATTAATGAAATATATGTTCAAAAACATTATTATATATACTCAATAAACATATAGTTAATCTTACAGAAAAACAGTTGAATTATTAGATCAAGCTTGTACATACAGGCGATGAAGGTAAAATTGTTGGTAAAACGAAACGGAAATGACGGTCCGGGAAACATATCCGCGTTATATCCGAGGTATACGGCATACGGTGGTATATTTCCACCTCTCAGATCGTTCGCCTTTACCATGTTTACGGTCCTATGACTGTTGTGTTTCACACACAAGCTAGATACGCGGATGTATACAACGACCACTTGCTGGGTGTACTGGCAGTACGCTGGAAGATTACGGGATATGACAAGGTGCTTGCTACTTATGTTAAACCATGAAATCAATTAATAGAATTAACATGTTTCTTGACTGCTCTGTTAACACACAGGTTGCGTGTAATATTTAGTCAATTAATTAAATAGTACGACTAATTACTGATTATCTGTCCCGAATACATTAATTGTGTGTAGCGTGATGTTAATCTTGCACGAGGCTCTCCCGCATTTTACACTTAACAATGGTTCAAGTGTTTCCGTAAGGCAGATCTGGTGGCTGTTGTATGTATCCAAGTGACGAATGGTGTATAAATAGAATATAGACATGTGGGTATTTTAGTTGTAACACAACGTGTCACCTTAATAGACAGACAGATTGTTTATTTACGCTTCACCATACGCACATTAAAATGAATAACACACATATAAACATATACAGTAAAAATTATAAATGTACATAAGGAGAGACGGTTAATGATTAAATAGCAAAGAGCGACATAAACAAAGCATCTAAGTAGATAAAAGGACAATTGAACTTGAATAGTATATACAACATATAAACACGTTAATATGGGAGGTAAGCCCAAACAGATGCCAGGGATTCCAAATTGTGTGAAACAAAGCTGACTTAAACCATGATTGGCATACATGGATTCGAACCCGGACTTGAGAGGGACTCTGGTCTACGCTGGTCTGGTTATCCTTGTACTGGTACCCCTCTGATCTAGTGGCAGACCACGCGCCACAATCAGTACTCGTGCACTCATTTGTTCAAGGTTGGTTTGTTGATTTGTTGTATAACGCCGCACTCAGCAACATCACACCTATATGGCGGCGGTCTGTAAATACTCGAGTCTGAACCAGGCCATACAGTGATCAACAGCATGAGCATCGATCTACGCAATTCGGATGACGTATGAGCCTGACCACATTTCCCCTTTAGTCGCCTCTTACGACAAGAATGGATTGCTGAAGACCAATTCTCAACCCGGATCTTTACGGGTCCATTTGTTCAAGGGCATTATATAACGTCTGTATCATGAGGTAAACATTTCAAGTATTGATATTGATACTGATACTGATATTGATACTAATATTTTATTTAGGGTCTCAGCAGGTACATTACTACATTCAATTCCTTGAATAGTTTTGTCATAATTTTAGCGTATGTATTCTATCAAAAATCAATAAACATATGTGGCAAGATGCAGAGCTTCGATTACTTACGTTGACAATCATACAGCACAGATGTGGGTTGTGTGAAATGGGCACAAATATATCTGATTGTACAATGACATATTACGCAAGGTAGAGCATACAGAATTCATTCATAGGGTAGAATAACCTAGATTTTATCATATGCACAGTAAATGTCACTGTGAAATAAATATTCAACTGACGTAATATGACATGATATCACACAGGTCCAGCAATAAGGTGTGTTCGTTTATATCTTTAACAATATAAGGAACCGTTCATAATTTATGGCTGAGGGTGGGGGTGGGGAGATGATTTTAAGGGGGTCACCCATTTTGTTCCTGGGAGGTAGGAGGGGTCATGTTCTGTACACATGTAGTGGGGGTGTCATTGATTGTGTACATGACATGACATGCAGTGAGTGGGGGGGGTTGTGGTTGTCACTTACTTTGTCCATAAATGTGTGTGTGTGTGTGTGTGGGTGGGTGTGTGCGTGTTGTGTGTGTGTGTGTGTTCACATTGTACATGCTTCTCCATAAAAATCATTTAGTTAGCAACGATGAGCGCGGAGAGTCCTTAGATGGGTTACCGTGTTTAGGACATGTGATACACATGTGATACACGTGGTCTCACCTTAGGCAAGTGAACTTGTTCAAAATTGCCTCTGTTCACCCAGCAGAATACGGGTATCCGGTGGGATAAGTCATGTGACTATAACCTTCTAGCGTCTCACGGGCAGTCTGGATTACCCACTCATTGTATGCTACCTTATATTTGACTTGCATCGCTTCCCATAAAATACAATTTAAAAAGATAATAAGACAGTTCTTTTATTCACCCATCGCCCTGAAGTGCATTTCTACTTATTCAGATCAGGTTGTCCACTTCTTAATTATATGTTTGCATAAATAAACATTCTTGTTCGAATAGAAAACTTGTGTTTGTTATTATGCAAATTGAATCAAAGTTCGTTGATATAGATGGAATTTCAAAAAAACGTCAACATCCATCAGGTCTAAACTTGTTTGAGTGAGTGAGTTGGGTTTAACAGTATTTCAGTTTTATCAAGGCGTGTCAGCTTCGTGTTGGGGGAGGGGCCTGGGGGCAGTGGGGTAGCCTAGTGGTTAAAGCCTTCGCTCCGCACGCCGAAGACCCGAGTTCGATTTCCCACTTGGGCACAATGTGTGGAGCCCATTTCTGGCGTCTCCTGCCGTGATATTGCTGGAATATTGCTAAAAGCGGCGTAAAACTAAACTCACTCACTCTGGTTGGGGAAAGGAAATTTGCCGTTGCTAAAAAGTGGAACTTTAGGACGTTTAAGATGCTGACTAATTTAAAGTCATTGTTAGGGGATAGTGGGATTCGAACCCGAGAGCTTGGCTCTGGTCGACACTGTGTGCAAGTTGTGTAACTGATAGCCTGGTCCAATTCAACATAGTGGCAGTCTCAATGTCATCACAATAAAACAAAAATCAATACTGGTGCACTCATCTGTCCAAGGACGCCGTTGGTATGACAAACAAGTGAAGTATTTAACTCATATTTAGTTAAGGACTCGCACAGTACATGTACTACATTAGTCGGCGAGGAACTGTGAGCTATACGTATTCAGGCATAACCAAGCCATATGATATATTTTATCATTGATTGGGTATTGTACTTTCGGTTCATCCCGGTAGGAATCGAAAAAAAAACAAAAACGTGCAAACTGTGCGAATTCACGTGGTCGATATTTGGGTCTTACTAACTACGCACACGCACACGCACACGCACACGCACACACGCATGTACACATATCAGCCGAGGTAATTTACTTTGAAGAAACAGGAACTGACCCCTACCCTGCGGCTTCCCACCCCATCCCCACCCGACACACACACACACACCACCCAAAACTATGATGAACTAATGATATTTGTAATGTTAAATATAATAATGTAATGTTGCTGAGTGCGGCGTTAAACAACCAATCAACAAACCAACCTTGAACAAATGAGTGCACGAGTACTGATTGTGGCGCGTGGTCTGCCACTAGATCAGAGGGGTACCAGTACAAGGATAACCAGACCAGCGTAGACCAGAGTCCCTCTCAAGTCCGGGTTCGAATCCATGTATGCCAATCATGGTTTAAGTCAGCTTTGTTTCACACAATTTGGAATCCCTGACATCTGTTTGGGCTTACCTCCCATATTAACGTGTTTATATGTTGTATATACTATTTAAGTTCAATTGTCCTTTTATCTACTTAGATGCTTTGTTTATGTCGCTCTTTGATATTTAATCATTAACCGTCTCTCCTTATGTACATTCATAATTTTTACTGTATATGTTTATGTGTGTTATTCATTTTAATGTGCGTATGGTGAAGCGTAAATAAACAATCTGTCTGTCTATTAAGGTGACACGTTATGTTACAACTAAAATACCCACATGTCTATATTCTATTTATACACCATTCGTCACTTGGATACATACAACAGCCACCATATCTGCCTTACGGAAATATTCCTGGAGAAGGAGGAATGGAATGAAGTACGCATTAAATCTCTCTCTCTCTCTCTCTCACACACACACACACACACACACACACACACACACACACACACACACACACACACACACACACACACACACATACATACATACATATATATATATATATAACACCAGTAATTCATTTTTATTACGTATATGTCTACAATTCTATATTATTACTTCAAAATGAGCTGAAGTTTACAGACCAGTGGTATAGAGTTAACAAATTTAACAAATTAAAATGTTAACAAACTGGTTTTCATTTATATATCAACACTCTGTCTCCCTGTCCGGTACGTTCACACATATAATGCTGGTTGAAGCTGACATCGATTTTCAAGGAGAGAGGTTTAACTTACATACATTGTGCTCTATCGGCCAGGTGTGCAGGGTAAGCAATGACATTCACATCGGCATATAGACATAATTGCACCTATATATCAGATGCATCGTGTCAGTCGCTCTGAATATTTGTGAAAATTGATCAGAAATTTCAAAAAACTGCCACCAGCTGTCATAATCTATAGCCACAACACGACTGTAGGTGCGCTCTGTCAGTCATTCGACATGGCCTAAATTACAGACAGTGTCTCTACAAGATTGGCAGAAGGGTTACCTGCATGTATAGTGTGTGTCGATGCCGATGGATAACGGTCAAAATGTACGCCTCTGTCTAACGTTTTAGCACCACGAGCTGAGACAAACGACCCGGAAATGAAGGTATGCTCTTGTACATAAATTGTCGACCCCATCGAAGTTGCGAACACTTGTGTCTTACGCTTAACATTTGTTATGAATAAATGTCATACAGCTGAGTAAACCTTGTGTTATCTAAGTTCGCATTGCGAAAGTATCTGCACTAACGCAAATGGAAGTGAAGTCTATAAAATCATTTTGCACACATAAAATATCTTTCACACTTTTTCTCTTATGTCGATTTCATGTCAGAATATTTACATTAGCTTGACATGCCCACTGTTTTCTAATTCTGCATGTTCCCTTGTTGAACGGAGATAGCTGTATGCCTTTCGTTGTCTTCTAGACGTGTAGCGAGGGCTGTAATCAAATGCAGGTATTCCAGCAATGATGCAGTACTTTGAGCACATCAAGAAGTCAATGTGTTATTGTATAAACATACTGGTCTCAGACAAAGACGTATACTGACCCCGTCTCTATATTAGCATTGATCGCAACTTTACATTATATACCAGTCCTTATATAGATTTGTGTTTATTCGTTTAGCATGAATGGTTTACAGTTCATGCACTAAACATGCACATTATTAACTACTCAGAAGGTGATGAGAATACTATAAATATGAGGACAGGTTGGGCCTGAATGGGACTGTTTTCTTAGTTGTGTTGTCAAAATAATATTTGATATATGAAATAATGGAACTGATGAAAATTTCGTGTTATTTCAAATTAGAATGTTATTGTAGTTTCCGTTCAGTTTAAAATGGCTGCATCTGCTCTGTCCCCACAATTCGCTCTCCGGGGTTGCTTCACTTATATAGTTGTTCCAGGATCCGCTGGATGTGAAATATTCTTGGTTTGTCACTATGTCAATGCTTGAAGGTTTCCCCATTTGGTGGTTAACGTGTTCTGCCCGTAAGTAACCATGTGAGGAGTTGTTTTTTCACACATAATCATATGTCGGCACAGCTGTGAAAACAGGCGTTAAACTCTTTCACTTTTATCTACGTCAGAACTAAGATGTTTGGCTAGGATCCCGCATGGTTCCAGACTCAGGTCGGTCTCGCTGAGACATGATCACACAGAATCATCAGCATTCCTACAAAGATTCGTGACACTAAGGAGAAAGATTATAATTGGGAAACCAACAAAAGGCCGGGCTTTGATGACGTCACATAATAACGTCATGGTGAAAATGACGTTCTCTGTGTATGACACCATTCATACATAAAAACAAACGAGTTTTAGTGTGAACAGCAATTTGTGAAAAAACAGACGACTCGATACAGCGGACATTTACATTCATGACCTTGTCGTACTTTGTCACGACACGGGTTGATACAACCGTGTTCTCTATATAGTGTATCATAAGAGGGGCCCAGTCGTCTTATTAGTTGTGCAGAGCTGCGGCCCTTGGACCAGAAACCTAAGGGATCGCACCACGATCGAATTATACTGAATGAAAAAAATAAGGGATCACATGAAAGGACAAGTGTTCCTTTATTTTTTCGCCAAGGTTTCTTCACAAGTTTTGTATCGCATAGCTTGTGAAGAAACCTGGGAAAAAAATAATGGAACGCTTGTGCTGACATGTGATCCCTTACATTGGCGGATCCAGAGTGGGGTTCAGGGGGTTCGAAACACACACACACACACACACACCACACCACCACCACCCTTTTCAAGATTCCTGGATCCGCCAATGCCTTATTTTTGTCTCTCGGTATATATAATTAAGTATGTAGTGTGTGTGTGTGTGTGCGTGCGCGTGCGTGCGTGCGTGTGTGTGTGTGTGTGTGTGTGTGCCTGCGTGAGTGCGCGCTTGCTTGCTGAGATATGCATTACTTCAAGCTCACCTGACACTATCTGGCTTGTGATCAAAGCGGCTTTACAACTCACCCAGAGTGACGTAAGGTCTGCCTAACTAATGCTAAGCGGTGTTGTGATTAAAATAGAGTGCTGCGGAAACTTATCAACATGTCTTTATATTTTAAAATGATGTTTTATTCCATTCGCAGACATTTTAACATTTGAATCTCGATGTTAGACTAAAGGTTTGAAAAGGTTTCCCCCAGTTTTCAAAACAGAGATCACTAAAATAGATACTTGTTATTTTAAACCTTCTGATTGGCAGGATTACCTGTATGTTCCATGTGTGTCGGGCGACAAGGTAAAGGTGTATATAATACAGGGAGCCCAGATGAGGTAGTGTTTGCCAAAATACATGACCAAAATATGCTCAAAATAGGCTTAATATGGAGTTAGTTTCGTATGAGAAGGAAATCAAGTTCGTTACATATCCGACGTGCTGTATGGAATATTTTTTCTCTGCATTAAGTATTTTACTAATCATAAAATACTAATCCAAGTTCACTACATTCCCCTGTTATCGCCATGGTTTTGCGAAAACGACTCGTTACCGTTTCATATGCACGACGGGTTTTGTAAAAAAGAAATATAGTTTAGGAACAACTATTTACATTATGTCAAAATTAATGGAACATAAGGCAAAACTACCTTAAATCTGCATCTAATATTCATAACCTAATTGAGGCAAAAGATAGTACATTTTCCTTTACAATGAATAATTGATCGATAAAATGAAAAACCACCATGGGATAAATTAAATTTGTTTAATTCACGCATAAGTTTTAGGTAGCTATGACACGAAATCACAAGCGGGTCTTTCAAGCATAAAGATAAACAATGTGAATGTTGTTACAGAATGCAGATACCTGCCTAAAACAGAATCTGCCAAAAGGTAACTGATTATTCGTGTTTGAAAACGAATATATACATTTGGGATCATAAATTTAATAGTTCTTTTCAAACTACGGTTCGGAAAAAAGTGGCGTCTGGAGGCAGACGACCAATCGTTTCGGTGTGGGCGTGTCAACATAAAAACCCTTCGTGCGTACATACATAAGCACACAACAATTCTGTACATTTGAGAAACGGTGCAGTATTGAAACAGCGGTATGCTTTTTGTTAGGGTTATTTGTAAAATGAGTAACCATTTACAAACTGACGTAACGATGAAGGTTGACGTTCGTAACGTTGTCGAGTTATCTCCCTTTTTGTGTACAAACCAAACACAACCCACCTCCTCAAAGCGTAAGTAAACGCAGCCATCCGAAAAAGTGTGACGTCCAGAAACCTATGACCCAACGATATCCCAAATTGTGATAGACATAATCTGGGTCTAGATCAACCTTATTTTTGCTTGTAGAACTTCCATCATGATTCTTACCTGAATATGTTGGCTAGTTGATCCTGAAATCTATTTGACCAAATCGTTAGAGTTAAAATGTTATTGGTGTTAGAATGACTGAACAGACTGTATTAAATAAGCAAAATGAATACTTATGCGATCAGTTGATACTAACTTTACACCATTACATAAGTAGCTCCTGTTACTATAAATGTTCTGACAGCGAATATATTAGATCTATACTTTTGTCGTTTAAACAACAATGAATATTTAAGAAAAGTGTTTTACTGAAGAATAAACTGACATTAAATAATAATAAGCTAGAATAATTTGAAAGGATCTGTTTTGAACTGTAAAAACATTATTGCATGTTCATATTTACATAATTTATCTTATATCTGTTTGAGAAGTGGGAATCAATTTACCCAGGAGAATTTTGATTTGTCGAATTTGAGAGTTGAATATTTTATTGACCACAGGCACACCATAATGAAGATAGTGGCTGGAGCTGAAGGGACTTACTAACCACCCTGAAGATAAACATGTCAACAAACATGTCAACGGACACTGTAACACGCCTCATACCTGAGGAAGACTTGATTGATGGATTGTTTTACAAGTGTGATGTCAACAAAAATGGAAGGGTGTGTGTGTCTAGACTGATCAGATATCTTACTTCAACAGCTGGTCAAGACAAACAGGTATGTTGATGGATCAGTAGCGCATGTGTTCTAAACAAACTTCCAAGAGTTTGTATCATCAGCAGTTTATGGTAAATCATTGGCCCTCTGTCAAGTTGAATTGTTTTAGGTGTTTCTGAAAACACATAACATGGCTAAATTTTCTTGATAAGCAACTGATAAAATAGGAAATCTGAAATTTCAATATTTTTAGAGATTCTCTCCTAAATAAGCATTGAATGGGTTAGCAACCATGCAAGACAATTACTAATAATGCTACTTCATGTCATATAAGCGATTTCCACAATAAAGCATGGTCCCGTTTCATAAGCCCAAGTTATACAGTTCAAGGTTAGGAGGGCTTCTGGTCTGCAAGATTTGGGGCTACAGTATATATTCAACGGAGCCCAGAAATCTTTACCTTGCATCCATGAATCCAATGACAAGGACCACTTGGTGTTCTTGTTAAAACTGACCACTGATACAAGTGATGATAAGAAGTAATTTTACCATGCCTGTTGTTTGACTTAAGGATCTATGGGCACATACTCATAGAGATTTTCAGATTGTCTGGAGTTAATCATCCTCGATAATCTCCAGGGTATATGTTCCGATAAATCTCCACTATACCCTGGATGCATCTACAGCATTTTATTACCTCCCTTGGTTGGCTTTTTATCCAATCAGGTGTCTACTCTGGGAAGTTGAGCGTTCCAATCACAACTCACTTTCGCTTTTTAAATTATCTAACCGATTAAACGTGGCAACACAATAATATATTGTTGCAGAGGTACTCTGAAAGAGGAAGAAGGAGTTCTTGCATATATTTTTTTAAGATTTCAGACCTGTCAATTTGTCTGTATGTTTTTCCCCAAAATCTGAGTCGCACTGCGAACAAACATTCGCGCTTGCGACCACCATCTTTGTTGACACTGGCAAGCTCGGTTGTAACAGCGGCTTATCTGATTGGCTACTATGAGAATGCGGAACCAGCAAAGTTAGGTAATAAAATCATCGGGCCGAGCCGTAGATGCATCCATGGTATACTTGAGATTTATCGGAACGTATACCCTGTAGATTATCGAGGATGGGAGTTAATGAACCAGTCAAGAGTGATAATCCCATAGAACAACAGTTGTTGGGTCAAACTAGATACCCATGAACTAGAGACAAGACCAAATATTTTGATACTTGGAGTTTTAATATATACATGTCATATCGTTAAACATCTTAAAAGGATATTCATAATGTACATATATAATTTCAAATAATCACCTAGTTACCTATCTTAGGTTATGCACTTTCCCTTGTTCTTTCGAACATACAATGGAAACAGCATAGAACAAAGTTTTCAGCCTCTTGTAACACCTTGCTCAAACACATCCCAGCTCAAGCTATTGTCTTAATTAGTCACATGAAATCCGTGTAAAGCTAAGTGAAGAAAATCAACAGGTGTCTGGGAACAAAATGTCTACATTTCCAGAACTTCAGTACCTTCTGTGATCCTACAAGTTGTCTTATCAGTCTAGGAAGTTCTGACCTCCAGCTTAGGATCTTTCAGTAGTTCTTCATCATCTTGCATCAGGGGTTCAAATTTTTTTAAAAAAGCCACTTTCCACAGGGCAAGTGACTTTAAGAAAGTAACTTGTCCTGACTAATTTTCCACTTGCCCTGATTTTATAACATAATTATGATGATGTCATTATGAAAGAAGAAATGAACATGGTATTTGATGTTAATGTTTACTGGACTATTTATTGAAAAGTGATAAATAGCAAAGAGAGATAACTCTACTTTATTATCATTGCGAAATTTAATAGCTACATTGTGAGCAGATATGAAATTAAATCAAAGTTTATTTGCAGTTTGAAACCATAAGTGGAAATTATCTAGTAGCCCACGGAGAAGTAAGATACCATTATTTGATTGCCCGAAATGAAAACTGACTTGTCCTGGGCGTCGGGCGATGGGATTTTTGAACCCCTGTGCATCAGCTGATTTTGAACCACTCAAGGGAAAAGACTTTGTGTGCATCACCCTCAAGACAATCTTTCTTCTTACAAAACCACACATTTCAGAAATGCTTGCATTTGATATCAACCAAGTACATTTCAAAAGGATGCAGCATAGCCAAGTCTTCATGAGTCTCCATTGGGAATTTATTACAAACAATCAGCTGCCTGGTCAACTGGGTTGTTTGTACTGACCATTCTGTCACGGTCTTTCATTACTGGATCTGTCCTTGGTGTCCATCACAGAAGGGTGTTTTTGGAGGTCAGTGACATCACACTGTCTACGGGACTTGTCAGTATCAAGTCTCGATTAGTCCTGGCTCACCAGCAAGCATCCGCAGCATTGCAGATAAACGTATCTGCCCAGGGTGACTATGGGAACCAATAAGATATTTTGCAGATTACAGAATAAACAATGTTAATATTTGACTGACTTATCTTTATTTTCTACCATGGGCTTACAAGTGATCAGCCTCATCACAAGGCTATGAAGACAAGCCATGTATAACGGCCCTGAGGCAAGCCATGTATAACCCAAGTTGATCCACACATATTCGCTAACTGTTTCTGTCATGAGCAGTCAAGTTAGTAAGAGTATAAATTCCAGGGATTGGCACCCTGACATCGGACTCTCCTCACTGATTGATTGTTTCTCTCTTGTGTTCCTTTTTTTGTCATTGATGGGATGGGCTCGTGGGAAAAGTACATAGAGTGAGATAGGATAAGTTTAAAAATAAAAAAATTTAAATTGTAATTTGTATATTCATAATACTTATCCTATCTTGCATGATGTATTCCCACCCAACCAGCCCCCACCAATCAGATTATAAGATTGGTTGCAGCGTCAAGACAAGAAAATGACTTCAGCCTGTGTCACATGGTCAACCGGGACAAGATGCACACTTTGTCCAGATTACCTGTGACTGCAAATGTCAATAGTTGGAGTATGTGCAGGCAAGGTTTCACAAGGGGCTGAAAACATGGCTTTAGATCAAGTATGCTCAGGCAAGGTGTTACAAGAGGCTGAAAACATGGCTTTAGATCAAGTATGCTCAGGCAAAGTGTTACAAGAGGCTGAAAACGTGGCTTTAGACCGTCTACACTCCACAGTCAATAATGTGAGATGAGAAAAGTATTATAAATATACAACTTATATTCAAAAGTTTCAATTATTGAGCAATTTCATGAAAGCACAATATTTTTTTTCTTCATTGTGTCAGCAATAGACTTATCCAACTTTGTAGAAGTTATGATGGACATGTTTATCACAAGTTCTTTCAGCTTCTAGGATACTGTGTATATTTCAGTCCCTAGCTGCGATAGAAAACCTGTCTGAGATGTTGGATCCACATGCTTCAGATGTAGCTATTGATCTGCTCACTTATCGTAAGTGCATCAACAAGTGGATTCAACAAGTCCGGCAGAGTAACAGGTAAGATGTTATTTCAATAGAAACAGAAAATTGCAGTGATGCAAAATGTCTGTTTTTCTGTTTATAACTCATTTTAATACCTAAGGGAGTAACTTTGCACAAACAGTTTGCATTACTGCTTGGCAAGTGAGTTGCATGAAAATGTAGCGTGAAAAGAAGAATATTACAATATGCATTTCTTGTGTTACAATGCTTATACACAAGACAAGTTAATTTTATTTACAGTAATCTTTGATGATGACTGATTTCAATATCAACTCACTGACACAGGCTGTCACAGAAAATCATCTTGGCTTTCATTTTGAACTAGTTATTTGTAAAGAAAGTATTATCTTTTACAACATTTTGAATGACAAATATACATAAAAACTGACAGAGGAAATGCTTACTGTGTAAATGCCTACCTTGTTCACAAATATTAGTTGACATGAAATTGATCATGTTCAAATTCCCCAGTAAAATTATACAAAGGTTCCAGTTTATTTCTGCCATCTCTATTCTACAATTTCCTATTTCAAGCTGAATATTCCTAAATGACAACCTACATTTCTTGTGACTATTTTGATGTTTGATACACAGAACTAGTACTTCTTGACTGATGACATCTTGATAAGACGATGTATTTTTTAAACAGATTGTTATTGTTATGATTATTAATAAAATACCAGGCCTCATTTTCTAATTTGTTTCCAGTGTCAACTGTGAATATGTATCCCAATGTACTAACAAGTGTGTGTTGCTATGGTTACTTGACACATCATTCTGTTGTCATGTTGATCACACAAGTAACAGACATTCATCTATGGTCACTTTGCTCTGTGAAAAATAAGAATATGTCTGTCAGAAGAAATTTATATTTTTAATATATTTTTAGTAGAGCTCTTCAATTCCCTGAGAGTTGTAGTTCCTCTGGGTGAGTAAAATTCCAGGTATGGATTTTGTTTATTCAAGTTTCCAAGAAAGAAGATTTCAATCATTCATCTGAGAACATCCACAGATGTCTGGTATTGGGGACATGTTCTTGTGGGTCTGTGGTTGTACACTCTCCATCTGAGAACATCCCTCAGATGCTCTATTGGGGATATGTTGGTGGGTCTGTGGTGTACACTCTCCATCTGAGAACATCCCCAGATGCTCTGTTGGGGATATGTTGGTGGGTCTGTGGTGTACACTCTCCATCTGAGAACATCCCACAGATGCTCTATTGGGGACATGTTGGTGGGTCTGTGGTGTACACTCTCCATCTGAGAACATCCCACAGATGCTCTATTGGGGACATGTTGGTGGGTCTGTGGTGTACACTCTCCATCTGAGAACATCCCACAGATGCTCTATTGGGGATATGTTGGTGAGTCTGTGGTGTACACTTTTCATCTGAGAACATCCCAGATGCTCTATTGGGGATATGTTGGTGGGTCTGTGGTGTACACTTTCATCTGAGAACATCCCTCAGATGCTCTATTGGGGATGATGGGCACAAATTTTGCAGAGACTGAGGATTTGATCGACTTTAAATCTTAAGTAGTTCATAATGATAGGAATGTATTATCAGGGGTTGATTTACTTATACTTAGTTTAGGTGACCTCTCTTTACATGAGACAGGGCAGGTTACTGGTCATCATTTGAGATATGCAAGTAATCCGGTACAACCTCCCAAAGTGGGTGAACACCACTTACTTGGTTTATCAGAGGGTTCTGGGATGCCATGGCACAAAACCTGTTTCTCGTAGAAAATTTGAGCCATACAAGTTTGATGGAAGGGGCGTAGACTGGCAAGATTATATTGTTTGAGTGGAATGGCTGGAGTTTGACTGAGAAAGCTCAGCAGCTGGCAATGAGTTTGAGGGGGTATGCTAGGAAAATGTTAGGCGACTTGACCATGTTTCAGTTGAGAAATTATGAAGCTCTCAACAATGTTTTATCTCAGAGGTTTAGCCCAGTTGAGCTAGAATCAGTTTACAGATGTGAGTTTGGAAAAAAAGGACTCGGAGGAAAGCTGAAAGTGTAACTGATTTTGGTTATGGTTTGAGACGATTAGCTTGTAAGGCTTTTCCTGTTATCCCGAGTCACTCTGCCAGGGAACTGTATACTGTCGATCAGTTTATTCAAGGGTTAGCAAATAGAGAGATGAGTAGGCATGTGCAGTTTCATCACCCCAATTGTTTGGAGAATGCTATATCTTTTGCTGAGGAATTTGAGACATTTGAATGTACCCCAGTCTTAGAAAATAAACCAAAGTAGGAGAAACCAACTGTTAGAGCAGTAACTACACCTGTCACTAATGAAAAGAATGAGATCTCTGAGCTGACCAGTGCTGTGAAAGCTTGTCTTGAAAAGCTGACAGACCAGCCATCAAACCTTCCACAAAGGACAAGGAAGACAGGAAATCAAAGCCTAGGTGTTATATTTGTGATTCTGGAGATCATCTTTGTGCCAAATGCCCACATAGAAAGGTTAGCTCAAATCCTGCAGAAGTGGAGAAGGAAAACTAGATAGGGCTGGCTTGAGGACAAAAAGTTCGGTCCAACATAGGGATAGGGACAGGCCAAAGCTTATTAGTTGTAAACTAAAACCAAATGTTTTTGTGTGTGCCAATCAATATAGAGGGAATGATGAGGTAAACATGTTGATAGATTCTAGTTCACCTGTTTGTTTGTTGCCTAAAAGAGTTTTCAGACAGTTGGGTTTTAGTCAGTCATTGTTGGAGAAGACTGTTATAGATTGCTCCGTGTTGACTGGTCATGACTTACCTATTACTGGATCTTTGTTGTTGGATTTGCGGATTGGGAACATGATTTTCAACAGGGAATATTTGTGGTAGTCATTGGTGATTCCACAGGAATTTTAGCGTATGGATTTTCAGAATGAGTATGATGCTTATGCTCGTGCTGCTCATTGGGTTGTATATATGGGACAAGATGTAATTTATTCTATAGAACAAGCAAGGACTGTTTGTGCAAGGGTCAAAGTGACTGAAAATATCACTGTTAAACCTGCATCTGAAATTTATATTCATGGTTTTGTGTCTGGAAAGAAACCACATGGAGATATGATTGCAGAACCTTACAAATCTTTTGCTAGAAAGGATTACTAAGTGCCAGATCCATGATTGATGCATCAGAGGGTAAAACAGCAGTGTCTGTGGTAAACATTACAGAAAGAGCTGTAAAGATTGCAAAACACACTGCCATAGCTAAGCGTCGAGGCAATTGAGGAGCTGAATTTTACAGAATCTAAGTCTAATTCGAGGCTAGTGAGTTACCTTCTCATTTGGAACTTTTGGTAGATAACTCAGACTTACCGTCTGATCAGAGGCAGGAACTGATAACATTTCTGTCAAAAATGAATCTGTCTTTATGGGTCCTGATGGTCAGCTGGGTAGAACAAAGGTAGTCAAACATGAAATAGATACTGGGAGTGCCAGCAGTGTTCATGAATGGTGTTTCAAAGTAACAGGACATTGGGTCCTGTAAGTCTCAGATGTCTGTCTGACCCATTGAAAATTCACAGGACCCATAGAATAAAATTAAACATACATTTCAGATTTAACTTTTCTTAAAGACCTATTGGAATCGTTAATGTTTTTATTATTTATTATTCCGCCCTATTTTGTACCAGTCCTACAAAAGCACCGCTGGACAGAATAGCTTGAAAAAATCACCAAGGTGCCGACAGTGCTGAAGTTGTTTCTGCAAAATCTCAAGGCTCTAGGCCCAATAGCAAAGGGGAGGCATTTCCGGGCTCGTCCGCGATGTCGGTGTGTGTGCATCTGATAGCTGAAGTCCTGGCGATTCCAGATTCCAGATTTTAACTGTAGACCGAAGGACAAGCGGAGCTACAGCCTGTCAAAGAGGGAACTCTTTCTTCTCGGAACTTCTTAAAAGGTACATGACCCCGCGACCTCGGCTGTATTTGGAAGATCCGCTTGCCTGTCAAAAGCGTGTTTTGGACGATTTAAAACCCCTCAAATACGTTTCAAACACCCATAACTCTGAAACCAACCGTCCGATTTCGCCGAATATTTACCTGTACATGTAGGCTGTTAGTTCTGATCATATCTGCCGATTTCAGTAATGTATCTCCAAACACAATAGAGGGACAAATGAATATATTTTCCACACTACAGTTGCTATCGGTGCACGATGAAAGTTAGCAGTATGTGTCCCAAAAATTTGCTGATGTTCTATGGTGCATGTGGATAGTAACACCGTTTGGTACATATGTTGTTCATGCTTGTTCGAAGTAAATGAAATAGCATGTATCAAATGTACAGTAAATAATAACAAGAACAAGAAGTTAATTGGAAAGTACAGAAACAATGTGATGATAAAGGCTTACATGTAGAAGCCAGTGACAATGGATTACATTTAAAAGCCAGTGGGATGTACAGAGCAGGAGAGGTTGGACATGTTTATACAAGTTATCCAAGCAGTTAGGGTTGGTTGATGAGTTCGTCTGTATGCTGAGGGATGAAATAATCTTGATCTCTGTTGATCAGGGGTCGGGTGTCGTTTGGCGTGGATGGCATAAGTTAATATCTGTTTGGTAAAAGCCAGATTGTTTGCAAGGATTGTGTATTCTGTCCAGTTGATTTGGTGATTCAGATTGGTCTGAATGTCTTCTGAGATAGTTGATTTGTTGTCGAATTTGTTTGTTGATGCCTGGTGCTCTTTCACTCTGGTGTTTACTGGCCTAGATGTTTTGCCAATGTAAGAATCTACATCGAAAGTGTGTCATTATCCACACAATACTACACAATCCTTTGTATCTAACCCATCTAACCCAAGACCATATGAATTCAAAGTTAACGAATGATGAATTTCCCATTACTGGCAGTGATATGATCCCTATTAACAGTAGCCATTACTACTTTAAACATCTACATCACAGGTACAAGTGGCTAGATTGTATCAAACCAAAGGAGCCCTATATCGCTGCTTGCAGCTATATTTGGCATTGAAATTATTAACAAACATAAGATTTATAAACAGCAAACAAG